CGTAAAAACTCTGGCCGGACTGAAAAACCTCGTTTATCTGCATTGAGAAGTTGCTTGACAAGAGATTCCTCTTCAACGGCAGTCAATTTATGGCCACTGGCACGTGTTTCTGAACGTGGTTGGATTCCATCAAGCCGATTAATAAAAGTAGACTTTGGCACCCCAAAAACTGCTGCTGCCTTTGATTTTGATTGAATTTTTTTGCTTCTATACGCGCTGATGGCCATTTGAATTCGATTTTCTTGAGAAAGAGGCATTTTAGATGATGGTGGTGACAAAATGACGCGTTGAAGTATGATTGTTGGAAAATTGCGGAGGAAGTGGACGGGACGGCCGTGTGGACGGCTCGGCCGTGGATTACGTTACCCCACATCGCTGACTAACGCTCTCCGAAAATGATCCCGATTCCCCGAATTCCATGAAGGCTTTCTCTTTGCGCCTGTACGAATAATTGAAGGTCAATCCTGAGTGTGAAAAGGATGAGTTGTGCGCATATTCCCGGGCACTTTTGCAGTGTTGCTAACCCACGGTAAAAGACCAGTATATACCCCTGTACATATCAGAGTAGTACCTCCGACTACCCCTCAGCACCATGCCAGAAAACACAGGTCCCACGAAAGGTACAATCAAGATCGACGAAATGTGCGTACAAAGTCTAACAATGCGACAGTGTAGACAACCCTCATCACAAACAACGCCTACCTCCCTGGCCTCCTAACCCTCGAGTACTCGCTCCGAAAAACAAACTCCAAGTACCCCCTTCTCGTCCTCTACACGGACTCCTTCCCTGCCGACGGCCATGCAGCCCTCGATGCCCGGGGTATAATGAAGAGGCAGGTTTCGTATCTTGCTCCCTCGGACCGTAAGGTCTACACGAATGATCCGCGGTTCAATGATTGCTGGAGCAAGCTTACGCAGTTTTCGTTGGTGGAGTATGAGCGTGTTGTACAATTGGATAGCGATATGGTGGTTCTGCAGAATATGGATGAGTTGATGGACATTGAGTTGGATCCGCCGGCTATGGGTGGTAATGGGAATCGGGTGTTTGCGACGAGTCATGCGTGTGTTTGCAATCCGCTCAAGAGGCCTCATTACCCGGAGTATTGGTGCGCATTCCCATCCAACAAACCAAGAACAGCAACTAACTTTTACACGCTCTCCAGGATCCCAAGCAACTGCGCCTTCACATCCCAACACTCCACCCCCGACGAAGCCCAAGCAACCGGCGCCCCATGCACCTTCGGCACAGGAGAATCCAACAGCGGCCTGCAAGTCATCAACCCCTCGCAAGCAACCTACGACAAAATCACCAGCCATCTCGACCAAGCCTCAACCTCCAACTACCAATTCGCCGATCAGTCGCTTGTCTCCGATATCTTTCGCGGGCAGTGGGTTCCGTTGCCGTACATTTACAATGCGCTCAAGACGCTGCGGCGGAAGGGCGTGCATGATGCTATCTGGCGGGATGAGAATGTTAAGAATGTGCATTATATTCTGAGTCCGAAGCCGTGGGAAGAGGTTGAGGAGGAGAGTAATGATGAGACGCATGAGTGGTGGAAGGATGTGAATGCGGAGAGGGTGAGGGCGGAATTGGGAATGGGGGTGAAGGATGGGTTTCAGGTAACTTATCGCTGAGGGTACTGGGGTGTACCTGCCTGGCTATCTCTACTCATTGCACAGAAGTTGCACATATATATTCGTTTTGTTTATATCTATTGTCTGCCCTTGCGGTCCTGTATCTGACAGCAACTTCATTTGTATAAAACCTGCTAATGTACTTATCATGTATAAATCTCCAACAATGGTTCTACCAAGTATTTCCTTCCATGGTCGGCAAATCGCCGTATTGAAGCTCTAGAGGATCGAGGAAGACGAAGACATGGTAACTGTGATGAAACTGCTAATATAGTAGTGTATATCTTTATATCAACGTCCTTAATCAGCTCATGGACTCCAAAGCAATCACTCCATCACGGAGTCCAACCTTCTCGCTCGATGCCATAGACAGGTGGTTTAAACGAGAGCCTGATGTCTTTAACGAGGAGGAAGAAAAGACCATCAATCCACCTTAGTCCTGATTATCCGGACTTACAGCCCTTCTCAAGAGATCCCAGACTCATGCAACTGTAATGGCTCAATTGCTCTATTCTTTCATTGCAAAAACTCCATCGAGCTAGTTCCACTCTTCCATGATTGCCTGTCCGATTAACAATTATATGACCGAGCCCACGTCCAGATATATGGGAGATAGATCCAGTTCGCGCGTTTTCCATCTCTTATCAAATCCTTCGATGTTGTCATATATTACACCAATGAGCAGTACATCGGCTTGATGGTCAAATGATTGGGTGCTTTAGAAGTCAATAACCTCCAGCATATAACAACAGTATTCGCCGCATGCCACAAATGGGAACAAAAGGCACGCAAGGCAAAGAGCAGCACATGCTCACGCAGTTGGGTCTTTGTTGTATTTTGCTTGAACTCCACCACTTTTGGCCCCATGAGAGCATATCTAGTTTGACAATGATCAGGACGTTTTGGGTGTATGCTCAAAAAGTTGGTCGTGAAGATAGCCGTAAAATATGGGTGTTGTCGGGGCTTTTTTTTTTTTTTTTTTTTTTTTTCTCTCTCTCTCTCCCATTTAATGACCTAGGAAAAGAATCTGTCTTAGAAACGACCTCGTAGTCTGCGCCTGCTGCAAGCATCGATGCAATTCGTTCTAAATCGAATTGGAGCTCCAAAAGCCCCTTGTTCGTCAGGGACAGATTACCTGATAGGGCTCCCGTCTTCCCGAGTCTCGTATGGGTTTCTGTGCAAATATGGGTGATCCATATCTGTCCTCGAGTGCTCACGAATTCTATGGAATGTTAACGTGCGATAATTAGTGTCAATAGACAGCTCAAGGTCGATGTAAGTGTAGCGGCGGCCATGTCTTCTGAGCACCTTATTTTCTTAATAATATAATTAAATACATAAATCGGAGATCAACCATCCATTCCTCTTTGCGTTGCAGGATTCACTCAGAAGAGCCGTAGCCACTACTTGGTGCTTTTTGCGGACACTGTTGCTGGCGGGCCAGCGCAAATGGACACCTTTGGCTGACGTTGCGTGTTTAGTGTCAGGAGCCTCTTTTCTCCAAATATCCCGCTTTCAACAGTCACCAGTTAGTATCTGACTAGTAAGGGACCAGTCAAGTTATCTCACCAGCGGAAGCAAGTTTCTCCCCCACAGAACTTCCACCTCACTGGACCTTGTAATACTTATGGGCCTTCACATGGTGCCGGAGATTCTTGTCTCGTCCGGCGCGTGACTGGGACGCCCGAGGCAGCCGTGTTGCTCGTACGGGCCAGTTTTCGGGCTCACATCTAGCGTGAGCAGCACAATGATCTATCATACGCTCATTCTTTGCCGAAATCGTAACATGAGAGCCGTCACGCTTGCGCTGCCCCCACTCGCTCGTGGGTAGCTCGCTCATCCAACTGTGACGGCACACTGCTCAGGTCACTTTCCGTGCTGAAGAAATTGGATATCATGTCGTCCACTTCGTCCCCAAACACATTCCCATGGCGAGGAGTTCACGGCGGTAGTCAGGTGAAAGACGATCCAGGGGACAGTAAGTGATTGTTATACGAAGAGCAAGGATGGAACTAGCAAGTTATATTGGAAGTAGTGAGCACTGGATGGACAAGGGACGATGGTTGTAGATATAGTGATAATGAGAAGGAGGTGATCTAGAGAAGTAGAGAGAGGAAGATATTCTGCCGCCGGCGCCGGCGCCACGAATGGAAAACGGTCAAGTTTGCTCTGTTTGCATTGCATTTAATGTTTCTATACATTCACCTCATAACTAATTACTCCCAGCAACAACATACTGCTTCTCCGTCTTCAACATCCCAAGCGTCCCATCACTCAACCCCAACGTATCCTTAACAATCTGCCTCGGCGTACTAGCAATCCACTGCCCTAGCGCAATATCCGTAAAAGCACCCGCCTGCAACACCTCCAAAAACACCAACTCCTCGCCCCCCGTGTTCTCAATATAATGGCTATTCGACTGCGGGAAGTACCCCACGTCACCAGCCGTATAATCGAAAGTGGTTGCTGTGGAGGGGGCCTCGAATAATGTTGCGCGGCCCTGGCCCTTGATAAAGAAGGTCCATTCGTCGCTGGACGGATGCCAGTGGATCTCACGCATGCCGCCGGGGTTCACGGTGACGATTGCGGCGGAGAAGTTGGAGGCGATGGGGAAGGTGGAGGGGTCGATGATTTTGACGGAGCCGCCGGATACGCGGTGGGCGGGTTGTTGGGAGAAGTGGTAGGTGTAGCTTTGGGAGCGGGAGATGGGGCCGGCGGAGGTTGTTACGTTCTGCTCTGAAATATTTGAGGGGGCGGGTGTGCCGGGGAAGATGTAGAGTTCGTCTTGGGGGATGTTGTCGAGGGAGGAGAGGGGGATGCCTAGGTCTTTGGCGAGGACTTCTTTCTGTTTCACTGTCAGTATGTTGTTCCTTTTGGCGGAATAGTGAGGACGTACAGGCTGATGAGCAAACACCTGCGAAGCCAGGAAAGTATTATCCTCCGAAAACGACCCATCATCAAAAACAAGCAGAAACTCAACACCCCCATCTAGGGCTTGGATCGAATGCGGAACGCCCCTATACAGTCAGCACCTGCTTAATCAAACCCTGACAGGATGACATACTTAGGGAAAAACCACACATCCCCCTCACTCACATCATCCACAAACGTTTGCCCATTCTCATTAACAGCCTGGATCCGACAAGATCCATTCAACACCAACGACCACTCCCCCGCAACATGCCAATGCAGCTCCCGATACGCCCCAGCCTCAAGTCTCATATCAACACCGGCCATCTTCGTAGCATCAGGCATCACGACGGTGTTTTCCTGGCGCGCCCAGCCTGAGTTCTCGATACCTAGTCTGTTATGGCTGAGTGCCATGGGCCATTGTGCGTTGATTGTCTGTCCGTTGTCGGTTCCTGGGGGTGCGAGTTTGTCACTGTTTAGGCGTTGGTAGGCGTTGTTTCCTGCATCGCTCATCAATACTTTATCCTCATCTTCACCCCCATTATGCCCCGATAGAAAAAGAAAAAGAAAACATACTCGACCCCGGATCCGTCCCCCCATGGCTCCCACGAATCGGCTGCGGATTCTCAACATCCTCGAAATCAAGGTAAACACCCTTATCCGCATTCTCCTCCTGTCCCTTCACCGGTTCATACTGCACCGAGGTGTTTTTCACAGGTACATCGCGCGAAGGCGAGTAACCAGCGAGATCCCCCGAGCCACGTAGTCCGGGGTTCGACGCCGGAGCCGCCTGTGCAGCGGAGAAGAGAAGGACAAGCGCGAGGATGTGTTTCATTATGTGATTCAATGCAATATAATAGTCACTGGTTAGCAATTGATTGTTTGGCTGAATGGATTGTGTGAAGAACAATGGTGGTTGTCTGCAATTGAGGTAGTATGCAGATATTTATATCCGTCGGGTGCGACGGCACACCATGCTACTCTGATTCTTGGTATGTATGTATGCATGTGCATTTACTATACCACGGTCTGTCTGAGGGGCAGGGCCTGGCCTCTGTCTGGCTGAAAACGAAATGGAACGAGTTGAGGTGGCCGTATCTACCGTGTACCGTAAGTCACGAGTACGGGCACGAGCGCGGGGACAATGATGTATACAAATTGGAGAAATCCAGGATTCAGAATGAGAAATTGGAGAAATGCGGGTGATTCGCTGTCGATTTACCGGTTATGTACTACGTTAATGCCCTACCGCTATACTTTATAGCGAGTCTTATCAAGGACAAGCAAGACCTAAGGAGAAACTAGAAAGCTTGTCCGAGACCTAAAGTCTATTATTCTGCTGCCTGTATTGATTTACATACTGTCATGACTCTTCATGCTTGTTGTTATTAATGTATCGTATCAATCCTGCAGATTATATTGCATGCAGGAGTTGCCACCAAGGTTACATACAATGCCTGGTTATCGGGGGTACGGAACCCAGGTTTATGCAACGTTATGTCCGAATGCATTGCATAGAGTGAGGTGATTGGACAGCCCTGCGCAGCCCTACGTGAAAGTCATGATTACTGCCAGAAATAAATTATTCCTATCCTTGTAGATAGAAAGATGCATGCAAAAGATCCCAGTCCGGAAACCCCTCCCGCCAAAACGCCTTTCGTCAGATATTAACAAACAATAGTAAATTCAGGCGTGAGACATCAATGATAGCCGTTGATAGATAATACAGGCAGGCAGAAGGAAGATGATCATACCCCCCGCGGCATGCGACACACCTCCCGCGCCTCCTCGGGCATGGTCTTCCAAAGCACCTCCCGCACCTCCTTACCCACCTGCTCAATAACATCCATCGCCCAAAGCACATCCAAATGCTCGTATTCATCAACGATCTTCGCATGTACCACCTGCACATGCGGTTCCCGCCCATTACAAAACCGTCTCAACAGCCGTTGTCCATCGACAAGGTCATCCGACCCCGCAATCCACATCGCCACCGGTGGCATCTGCGCCCCGTACCAGGCAGTGTTGCTACGGGTGCAGCTGTCGGTGATCCCTGACTCGACGCGGTGGTCCTCGTCGGCTTCATGGCTGCTGAGTTGCTGGGTGGAGAGGATGCAGCCTTGTTTTGCGAAGCCGTCGCGGCCTAGCCACCAGCGCATCATCTCGCTGCTGACATAGACAGGGGCGAATTGGAACATGCGTGAGCGGAGGCCCCGGTCCCAGCGGGCGTCGCTCCATTGGAAAAGTGAGGAGAAGACGTGATAGCCTAGTGTGCCGTAGATGCGAGACGGGATGATTTTCTGCACTGTGATCATGAGGGGGATGAAGGCATGGATGCCGAAGAACAGGCGGAATACCGCGTTGGGGATCCATTGCACGAAACGGAAGTATATCCGTTTCAGCATCGGCCCCGCATAAGCAGCCGGGGCGAGTGCGCAAAAGACCGACATACGCTCGCCCAGTTCTGGCCGTTGCTCTTTGGCCAAGGCCACAAAAGTCTGCGTCGTACCTTGGGAATGGCAGACGAGCCCCAGTTTCTCGAATCCAGTCTCGTAAAGCACCCGCGACATGAGTGCAGCCAGATCCAGCACGCCCAAATGTCGGATATTCCAAGACCACAGGTGAGGGTCGGATGCTGAAAGGGAGGCATGTTCCGGGCCCTGCCCGCAGCGATTATTCCCCAACCAGACATCGTACCCCGACTTGCAGAGGTAAAAAGCCAGACTGTCATCATCGTTGGAGCAGTAAGCCCCCGCACTCTGCATTAGACCATGCATCAACAGAATCGGATACCGTCGATTGCCCCCTGCTGACGACACTCGCGGATTCCGCTCACTAGTGAACGCCTGCGGTCCCCGAACCTGCCTCTCCTCAAGCGGCAGGGGCACATACTCCTGAGGGTTATAGACGTGCCACAGCGTGACGATAAACCCATCTTCCGTCTGCACCTTGAACGTCTCCACATCCAATCCAACCCTGCGCGCATAATATGCGACGTCAGCGACAACAGGATCCCTCCCTCCTTCCAACGGGGGACATTCATCAGGTCCTTCTTCCTCTTCCTCTTCTTCTTCAATAATATCCTTCTTCCCCTGTCTCCTCTTCCATTTCAACTCCGCATGTTGTCTCTCCGACTCCCTCTCCCATTCCTCCACATGAAACTTCCTAGGCTGCGGATTCTCCCCATTCCACCGCATCCGCACATCAGACGCAAACCCACATCCCCATTGTACCACAGCCCCAACAACAACCAATATCAACAACAACAGCGAAAGAACAAACGAGACGCAGCGAATAGCGAACCACTGCAGGATCCGGAATGTCGTTGGTTGGCCGTACGTGGGTAGCGGGGGGAATAAAGGATGCGGCGAGAGAACATGCTGATGTTTCTGCATGGGTAGTGCCCGTGAGTTCAAATTTGATTTCGATTTTGGCGCCGCCTGCAGCAGGGCGTCGGTTACATCCATGGTATCTCCATCATCGTCATCATCATCCCCGTCGAGTTTGTCCAATTCGATTTCGGAACGTATGTAGCCTTGCTTCATATCGGGGGTATCGCGCATCGAGTCAAACCCGGAATCGTAGTCGGGTTGCAAATTGTGTCGATTACCGTTCTCGATGGGATCAGAATCAAAAAGCCCAGGCTGCTGCATGGTAGACAAGGCAGCAGCAGACCGGGGATTCTCCCCGTAGGCCACCGACATATTGAGAGTCGCGATAACAACCAAGAAAAACGAAAAAAAAAAAAAAAAAAAAAAATCAGGTAAAAATCGTGACAAAAGAGAACGACATCTTCCTCAACTAATATCGCTAAAAACACACCCGTCAAGAATGCGGTGTCCGTGAGATAATCCCGGGGAAATGCCCCGTCCGCGTCTCACCCCCCCGTCTTTTCCCCTTTTAGGCTTCCATCGATATCAGTCACGTGAAAATTCACCAATGACATTCCATGACCATTTTCAGCGGATTCTCGATTGTGCAATCAGTGCTCGTTATTCGATACCATTTCCCACCGGGAATGCCCAATTGCGTGTAAGATTGCACTGGTTCTCTGGGTGCGAAACGTGGCAGTGAAGTGGCGAGTTGCAGTAGCCCCTGATAGGGTGTGTATGATTGGTGTGACCGGTTGCTTTGCCACAGAGCCCTTGGTTGAGTAGATTAAGTGCTGTCTTTGGAGTTTGGTTGGTTGGTTTGTCCTTCTGGCCGATTGGATCTGTGTCCGTATTTCGTATAGTAGTATAGGTAGGTGTTATCTACAAGTTGGTTTGATAAGGCATCAAGTGGGTAGATTATCTCAACAAGTCCGATGTGGTGTAACGGCTAGCATCGCTCGTTTTCAGTTCAAATCCGAGCAGATCGGGGTTCGATTCCCCGCATCGGAATTCCTTTGTCTTTTTTTTTTTCTTTTTTTCTATTTTTTCTCTTCGTCGCTGTGATAATAAATGTTTAACTGATTCTGCTGTTTTCATTTTACCTGTTTGTGTCTTTTTTTTTTAATTTTTTTTTTTTTTTGAACCGAGTACTACGGAGTAAGTACTACGGAGTAACTCAGGGTGACGCCGGAAAGGCCACAAAACGTCGTGGCCCTTAAGGTACATTTTCGTGGAATTTCCGTCCTGGCATCGCCGCTTCAGAGCGGCCGGGGTAAATTGTACTAAACAGGTAAAGCACAAATACACTCATCAGCAACATTAACACCCAATTTATCTATAGTCTCATATTGGAAAGCGCTCCCATCATGACTTGAATACCAGACAAATAACTATTTAAGCCCCCAAAGGATTGATTTTGTCACGGTGCCAGCTGAAACGGATAAATCAATGAAGCAATTAAACTCCGAGCCAGGGAAGTCGGGGAATCAATTATTCCGGACTAATGATGTCTATATGGAGAGGACTAGTGAAAACGAAGAGGAAAATTGCCTATTGATCATACATGTGTATACACAGCTGATTGAGTGCTTGGCTATCTAAATGTGCGCACACGCTGGCCTATAGCATCAGCCAGGCGGAATTTATCTGGTCAGTCTGATGTTATTGTTACAGACCTTATCCTGTCAGCCTCACGTGACGATGTGGGGAGTTAAGGCAGAACCATTGGGTATGCTCAGCGGGATGATCAGTGAGTTAAGCAGGGATTATGACCTGAGCATTAAGGAAGTACGACATACCTCACGTGACCTGCAGGAG